GACTTCCTGCCACCTAGTTTAACTTTGTGATCTAGTCTCAAATTTTGATTAAGATCTTCATATGTGTTCATTTACAAAATACTGGATCCCAAAGTGGCTGTTTTACTCTCTTCATTTTAATCTCCAATTTCATAACCTGCCTGGTTCAGAAGAATTGGAAGTATAAAATGAACAGCAGTTCACCTACCTGCTCCTTGCTTAGACTCCGTAGAGAGCCTCTTGCCAGATCCTAAGTCACCTGCTGGAACTTGGCATGCTACTATTGGCAGGACATCCCAAATACTGATTGCCTACTTGGATAAAACTGACCTAGCACCTGTCGCTGTATTTCATGGACTCCAACTCTTGCTGGCCCCAGACTTAGGCTATCTCCTGGCCTCTGCATAGCTACGTCTCCAGGGGTGTGGCCCTCTTCTGGGCACTTAGCCCATGTAGTTTTGATCAGAATCGACTGAAGTTTATTTCCTCTATACAAGTCCAAAGAGAGTTTGGGATACATTCTCATTTCCTAACCCTTGATCTTATGTTGATAAATTGATTCCAATAAAGAATTCATACTGTTCAGTGATTTCTTTTTTCATTACTGTATTCCTGAGTAGATGGGTAAATGGAATGCAAAGAGAAAACAGAAAGATAAAATATGCTTGATAGATGCTTAATAGTGCTTTTTCAGTGAAATGTTATTTGACAAATTTTATTTTTGTCATTGCCAAACCATCATGCAAAATTATATCCTTTTGTCTTCCTGTTATATTTGGACATATTTAAAAAATAAGACTATTAGCTTATATGATTTGGGAACAGGAACAGACAATACCAGATGTGTATCTGGTCCTAATATAAAAGAGGATAATTAAGCACCTGGCAGATATTCTTAGTAGTACAATTAGATACTTTTTGGTGGCTTAGGATCTGGAGGTATACTTGAGTATACTTGGTTGATTTTGTGGAATTTTCTTTTGGGAAGCAGGAACTTTTTGAGAACATCATAGTTCAGTATTATAAGTTTTGTTGATTGTTTCACAAGTGACCTTCATAAATCAAATGGAGAGAACTTTATCATTCCAGCATAAAATTATGCAAGCATCTAAACCAAAAAATCTAAAAAGCTATAAGGACTATAGATAGAATCAACACATTTTTCTTCAAGGGTGTTAGGCAGAAAATAGATGTACAGAGCCTAAATAAAGGAAACCAAGCTTCATTTTATGTCTACTCTGACCCAGCCTTTGTGAAAAATCCTAATCATTTAGATTCTTGGGAGAATTCTTTACAGCAAATCATTACTATGCCAATCTTGTACAAGACAATATAGACTCAGAGAAGTTAGGCATCTTTTCCAGGATTACACAGCTATCCGCTTTCAGCAAATGAAACCATGCATGAGTTGGGCTCAGAAAAAAAGCAAACTCTTTACTTTAGGTAATTCTGGAGTATTGGAATTCCTTAATTTTACTAGCCTTTGTGTGGTAAAGCTTTTTCCCTCTCCTAATTTCCCAGGGTACATAGTAAAGTAATTATTTGGGCTTATTATGGCCATATGGTGCCACGGAGGACCATCCATTCCTTCTACCAGGCATTTGACAACAAATGCCAGGAGGAAAGATGGAACTGTGTGCCAATCTGCAAGAAGATTGTGAGATCCATGTTATATTCTTGGAGGTGAAAAAGATATTCTATGGTGAAGTGGAAGTGAATATTTGTTACTTCAGCTTTTTTTATTTCATATATTCTAACAAAATACAAATTATTAGCTAAGGTAATTAAATAAAATCCTCATCTGCTGTTTACAAATGTTAGTGACTTTAATCTGGCATTTCAATACTAAAAAAAAAAATAGTGCCTAGTAGTATTCATGTAACACAGAGATGTTTGAGCTTTTTTTGTCAAATCCTAGGTTTCCCTTTCACCACAAAAGGAAGGCAAACATTAAAGAATTATAAATACAAAGATTAACTTTCCTCAAAACAGAGGTAATTAAAATAAATGTCATAAGGAAGGTGACAGGATTATTAGAGGTGCCATATTGCATATACTGGCTGGTATCTTTTCTTTAGGTTAGTAATTTTCAGACATATTAGGCTAATGTGGTTAAAGGAGGTTTGTAGATAAAATATGCACAATAGGGTGGATGTAGCCCAGTCTCCTCCCAGAAGTCCAGGGGCACTTTGCTCTCAGGCCTAAAGACACTGACAATGCCATGGACTTCAAGAGGTGAAACCACATATTTTCCTTGTCAGTGAAGGCTGTCTTGTCATCAAAGGCAGATGGAATTTTAAGAGCAGTCAATACAACCATCTTTTCAAGACTGTGTAAAATTCTAGAAAAACTTGAGCACAACCAGGTCATCATCAGATCACTACTGGTAAGATATTATCAGTTTTCTTCCCTAATGCAAACCCTACACAGATGATGAATAACTTGGGAGTTTTAATTAGTATTTTCTTTGAAGGGATACCAAATAAGGAAATTTTAAAATGCTGGAACTATCCAAAAGTATAAATAAAAGATGAATTTTGTGATTTTGTTGAAAGAGAAAAATCAGATTAGGGCTGGGGTGTGACCCAGTGGTAGAGCATTTGATGTCCAGGACCTTGGGTTCTAACCCCACCATGGCAAACAAAGGAAAAGAATGTGTATGCAGAACAAACTAGTATATCTCGAGGATCAATCAAAAGCACAGTAATTTCAAGTAGATACATATTACTTCTCAGGCAGAGATTAGCAGGCTGAAATTGAAATAATATTGGGTGATGATAATATCGCAAGGGAAGAAATCCATTCTTCATGAAAGGATTTGAAGTTTTTCAAGGATTTACACCTAGAAAGATATTCTTTATGACCACATATTAATTTACGGCTTATTTGAAATATTTTGTTAAGTTACATTGAAGCTCTTTTTCACAATTAGATTTAAATACACTGTTGGAAATAAAAGAAGAATTAAAAAAAATACTTTTACTTTTTAAGCATAGCGAAATAATGTCCTCTACATTAAGGTAATCAAATCCAATGCTCTTGGATTTTTCTGGGGTAGACTTATCAAATTCACAAAGAAAACTCTCCTAGAACTAATGGAATTGGATTACCTTTGAATTCTCACCCCAACTTTGAATAGTCACTAATTCCTTTCTTTGCTCTTTTGGAGTTTGCAAAGGGGTTCACTAAAGCCTGAATTGATATAATTATTGGCTCAGATTGTTAGAGATCTAGGCCAGATGGCTATGGGTGTCTAACGTCCCAGTTGCTTATGGTAGTTTTCCTAGTTTGTCTATAGGGTTTGGGGACCAGCAATTTGAAAGGACTACAAACTTGTAAAACAGTATTATTCATGGGGGCAGAATGTTCATCAGCGTGACCTAGTACTAAATACATTCATTACAGCCATTTCTATTCTGCACAATTTGCCACACAGCACTGGTTTCAGGAGGGGGAAAAGAAGACAATGGCTTATAAAATGCTTTTGAATGCCTAAAAAGAGGGAGAGTTCACGCTGAGACTCCTCTGCTTTCTTTTTTAAAGGAAAGAACCTTCTTAGTGACTTTAGCTGAGCTCTGCTGAGAGTAAGCAAAGTGGAAAAATCAGAAAATTACTTTTTATACAGATATATGTTTCTGGGGGGCAAAATAGAGACTGGGAGAAAATAAATGGAAAAAAAAAGTGACAATGTGAAACAGCCAATTCGGAAGTGGATGGAGACAGCTGAGGAATCATGCAGCAGGTAGGGAAAAGCAGCAAGAATGGAGCCACAATGATAAACTTAAAAGGAGTTGCAGAGCAGAAAGAACATCATAAATAATCATATTTTCAAATAAGAATAGCATATCAGTTTCTGTGACCTGGATAGAGCACAGCCTCCCATGGTATTTCCAGCATTTTGATGCACACAAAATGCAATTTTCAGCTCAGGCATTTTATTTGTCAGTGTAAACAAGCTTTGGGTTCTTAGAAATGCATATCTGAAAAGTATTTTCATAAATAATGCATATATTATAAAAATTTGACTTGTAAACGATTGAGTTCATGTCCCCTCAGTATCATCGTGGAGACTCACCACGTATAGATAGGACTTTTTGGTAGAAATTGGCAAGCTACAGCTTGAAATATCTTTTACCTAAGGTAAATGGGATTTTTTTGAAGTACAGGACAAAGAAATAAAGAATTTTGTCCAGACTCAGGAAAGGAATGACATAAGGTAGAAGTCTATTGTTAATTAGTTCCAAATTCTGAGGTGTTCCTTTACAACTCGCTAATTAAGAGAAATCAAGAGTGCATGATAGCCCTTTTCTTATCTTCAAAGAATTAAGATGAAAGAAAACAGAAAATGAAACCTCTTTACTTGTTCTGTTCTTTAACACAGAGCCCCAAGAAAACCTGCTGGTGAACAGAGGCAGAGAAAGACCCAAGAATTTGCAGAGGGGGAGGGGAAGGAGGCGGTCGGCGAAGCATAATTAGAAGCAAGTTTTCAAATTTTATTAAATTCCTCCACCAACAAAATGCACTTAGAGGTATTTTAAGTTAAACCAGCACTCAAGGACTATGAAAAGCAAGACGAGTGCATGTTTGTGGCAGAAGAAAGGGCAATTAAGAAAACAAGAACAATTTAGAGTGCCATAGAAATAAAGGCGACCAGAAGTTGATTTAAAGTTTTTCTTCTGTAATTTGTCTCCCCTTTGTCGTGGCACGCTCAGAGAAAGTGAATGCATTGGATTGAAAAGAGGGAGGGAGGGAGGCGGGAAGGGAGGGAAGAGCTCAGAGGAAGGGCGCCCTCCTCCCCGGCCCCCAGCCCCCAGCCGGGTCTCCTCTCCCCGCCGCGCGCCCCCGGCCCCCGCCTTCCTCCTCCTCGGCTCCTCCATCCCTTCCCAGCTCCCACCCTCGGCTCGCGCCCTCCCTCGCTTTGGTGACTCCATCGGCTTTTGATTTGGAAGCAAGCTGATTGGCTGGAAGCGATTCAACACACGCCGGGCAAGAGCTTTGTCTGAGTTGAAGTGAAGTTGTACAGATTTTCGACTGGAGTCAGCAATCACGGGTGTTTAGTCTGCAGCCGAGCAGAGAAAGGGAGAAGGAATCGCTCGGGGAAGAGACACTGCAGACTGCGCGGGCACCCTGCAATAGATGGATTCCGACTCCACCAGGGGGACAGCGACGCGGAGGTGACACTCTTCTGCCTGGAGAGAGAGAGAGAGGACAAACGGCCGAGCAAACGCAAGCCTCGGACTCCCTGCCGAAATCTGGAAGTCGTGACACGGTGTGTATGAAACAAAAGTTTGGGAGCTATTAATTGCTGTGCTGGGTTATTAAGAGACGCTTTCAAGTTTCAAGTACCAAATGTCGCTTAGCTTTAAGTTGCCAAAGGAAGTTGAGGGAATTGCTTTGCCGTTTTAACTTGCTCTGTGAGGGAAATCTCATAAACTGACCAATGCACCAAATGAATACTAAAATGCACTTTACATTCGCTTTTGCACTCCTGATAATGTCTCTCAACCGCGATGTACTGTGCAAGAATTTGAAATACAGGATTTATGAGGAGCAGAGGGTTGGATCAGTAATTGCAAGACTATCAGAGGATGTGGCTGATGTTTTACTGAAGCTACCTAATCCTTCTGCTGTTCGTTTTCGAGCCATGCAGAGGGGGAATTCTCCTCTACTTGTAGTAAATGAGAATACCGGGGAAATCAGCATAGGAGCTACAATCGACCGTGAGCAACTGTGCCAGAAAAACTTGAACTGTTCCATAGAGTTTGATGTGATCACTCTACCCACAGAGCATCTGCAGCTCTTCCATATTGAAGTCGAAGTGCTGGATATTAATGACAATTCTCCCCAGTTTTCAAGATCTCTCATACCTATTGAGATATCTGAGAGCGCGGCAGTTGGGACTCGCATTCCCCTGGACAGTGCATTTGATCCAGATGTTGGGGAAAATGCCCTCCACACCTACTCCCTCTCTGCCAATGATTTTTTTAGCATCGAGGTTCGGACCAGGACTGATGGTGCCAAGTATGCAGAACTCATAGTGGTCAGAGAGTTGGATCGGGAGCTGAAGTCCAGCTACGAGCTCCAGCTTACTGCCTCAGACATGGGAGTGCCTCAGAGGTCTGGCTCCTCCATACTGAAAATAAGCATTTCGGACTCCAATGACAACAGCCCTGCTTTTGAGCAGCAGTCTTATGTAATACAACTCTTAGAAAACTCCCCGGTGGGCACTTTGCTCCTGGATCTGAATGCCACTGATCCAGATGAGGGCGCTAATGGGAAAATTGTCTATTCTTTCAGCAGTCATGTGTCTCCCAAAATTATAGAGACTTTCAAAATTGATTCAGAAAGAGGACATTTGACTCTTTTCAAGCAAGTGGATTATGAAATCACCAAATCCTATGAGATCGATGTCCAAGCTCAAGATCTGGGTCCAAATTCAATCCCAGCTCATTGCAAAATTATAATTAAGGTTGTAGATGTTAATGACAATAAACCTGAAATTAACCTAAACCTCATGTCACCTGGCAAAGAAGAAATATCTTATATTTTCGAAGGGGATCCTATTGAAACATTTGTTGCTTTGGTCAGGGTTCAAGACAAAGATTCTGGGCTGAATGGAGAAGTAGTTTGTAAGCTTCATGGACATGGTCACTTTAAACTTCAAAAGACTTATGAAAACAATTATTTAATCCTGACCAATGCCACGCTGGATAGAGAAAAGAGATCTGAATATAGTTTGACTGTAATCGCTGAGGATAAAGGAACACCTAGTCTCTCTACAGTCAAACATTTTACTGTTCAAATCAATGATATAAATGACAATCCACCACGCTTCCAGAGAAGCCGATATGAATTTGTAATCTCGGAGAATAACTCGCCAGGGGCATTTATCACCACTGTTACAGCCACAGATCCTGATCTTGGAGAAAATGGGCAAGTGACATATACCATTTTGGAGAGCTTTATCCTGGGAAGTTCCATAACTACATATGTAACCATTGACCCATCCAATGGAGCTATTTATGCCCTCAGAATCTTTGATCATGAAGAAGTGAGTCAGATCACTTTTGTGGTGGAAGCAAGAGACGGAGGGAGTCCGAAGCAACTTGTAAGCAATACCACAGTTGTGCTCACCATCATTGACGAAAATGACAATGTTCCTGTGGTGATAGGGCCTGCACTGCACAATAATACTGCAGAGATCTCCATCCCCAAAGGAGCTGAAAGTGGCTTTCATGTCACCAGAATAAGGGCCATTGACAGGGACTCTGGTGTCAATGCTGAGCTCAGCTGCTCCATAGTAGCAGGTAATGAGGAGGGTATCTTCATAATTGATCCACGATCATGTGACATCCACACCAATGTGAGCATGGAATCTGTTCCTCACACAGAATGGGAGCTCTCAGTCATCATCCAGGACAAAGGCAATCCTCAGCTGCATACCAAAGTCCTTCTGAAGTGCATGATCTTTGAATATGCAGAATCAGTGACAAGTACAGCCATGACCTCAGTCAGCCAGGCATCCTTGGATGTCTCCATGATTATAATTATTTCCTTAGGAGCAATTTGTGCAGTGCTGTTGGTTATTATGGTGCTATTTGCAACTAGGTGTAACCGAGAAAAGAAAGACACTAGATCCTACAACTGCAGAGTAGCAGAATCAACTTACCAGCATCACCCTAAAAGACCATCCAGGCAGATTCACAAGGGGGACATCACATTGGTGCCCACCATAAATGGCACTCTGCCCATCAGATCCCATCACAGATCATCCCCATCTTCATCTCCTACCTTAGAAAGAGGGCAGATGGGCAGCCGCCAGAGTCACAACAGTCACCAGTCACTCAACAGTTTGGTGACAATCTCATCGAACCATGTGCCGGAGAATTTCTCATTAGAACTCACCCACGCCACTCCTGCTGTTGAGGTAAGATCATATACTGCATAGATTGACTGATAATGTCAGGTGTTAATATTCAGAAGTTGTATATGTATCAGTTCTTAAATGTCTTCATTAATGAGTAACAATATGCAAATTAAGCAGGATTCAAGCTACATGTGTACATGTAGCAAGTACACACATCTTAGCATACTGCTTTCAGTTTTTCATAAATAATTTATTTGCATGTAATATGTATGATATTGAAAAATAAGCAGGAAGCACACAAGGAAATATCTAAATATAGACCCTCACTTTCCAGGTCAAGATGCAGCACAGCCAAAAGTTAAAGGGTATTGTTATAGTCTCTACTGGGAAAAAAAAAAAAAAAGCATCCAGAACCCCATCTCAGTGAATGTTGTTTTATTTATCCAACTTTGTATATTTTGGATATCTAGATGTTTTACAATGCATTTTACAGCATTTTTTTTTAGATATGTTTTGCAACTGACCATGTTGAACTATAAAGGAAATCAATCAGTTATTTAAAAGGGAGTCTTTTAAAAAGTCAATTGTATTATTAGATCACCCAACTCTCCCTGGGATGGAATTCAGTTATATTTGGTGACTAGCTGCACAGCCTGCCACAATCCAACATATGCAAATCTTTAAAATGGATATAACATGTTCCATTACTTTGTATGAAATAACAAGTAACTGTTTTTCTTTGCTTAAAGCCTGTGAGTACTTGGAGGATTTTTTTTTCCAGGAATCAGTTCTGTCTATTTGGTTTCCAGCAGGTCTCCCAGCTTCTTTCCATGCTTCACCAAGGGCAATATCAGCCAAGGCCAAGTTTTCGAGGAAACAAATACTCCAGGAGTTATAGGTATGCATTATCCTTGTGTTCCCTGTTATGTCTCAGATAACATAAATGCTGAAGTGTAAAAACCATATTTTCTATGATTGATGTTTCTAGATATGCCCTTCAAGACATGGACAAGTTTAGCTTGAAAGACAGTGGCCGTGGTGACAGTGAAGCAGGAGACAGTGATTATGATTTGGGGCGAGATTCTCCAATAGACAGGCTACTGGGTGAGGGATTCAGTGACCTGTTTCTCACAGATGGAAGAATTCCAGCAGGTAAGAGAGTAATGACAGATAACACTTTATTTCTAGGTCTACTCTAACACCAGTAAAATAAACATTCCTCCAGTGCTTCTATTTCCTATTTATTTGTCCTTTGCACTAAGACATCTGTGTCTGCATACTATTAGCACAATGAACAGAATTGAAACACTTTTAAATTATTTTCTTAAAATTCATAGTAAGCAGTTGGGAGAGAAGGAGTGAGAATGTAGACTTAATAAGACAAGAAAGAAGGGATGTGAAGGGAAGAATAGAAAACCAAACCACTTCCCTCCTCTTTCTACCCCAACTAGTGAGCCTTAGGACACTCTTGAGCAACTCTGTATAAAATTACTGGGTGGTTGTTTTTATTCAGTCTGTTTTGGTGCATGGTGGTGAACTGAACTGTAATTTGAAAGATGCATTTCCTGTGATGGAAACCAACTCACAAAATCAGAGACTAAAATACACTGGAAAGGGTACACTTTAAGCACTAAAAATAAGAGAAAGAAAAGGTGGTGAGCATAGAATATGTCTTGCTACCTTTCATTGTCCGTCTATACCGTGATGTCTCAGAACAGGGAGCCAGAGGGAACTATACAAGCACACAGCTGGATGGGGGAGAGTCTGCTAAGTTTTGAACCACATTTTCCTTAGTTTCCCTTCTCTCTAATTGTACAGGAGAAACTGAACCAACTGGGTAAATGCTGGCTGCCTCATTGTAGCAATTCTATTCCTAAAGGCTACAATGTTAAGTCAACTTACAGGAACACAGAAGTGTTCTTTTGGCTACTTATATTCTTAACTTCTTTGAAGGTGAAGCAAATGACTGCCATTTGACAAATGAAAGAAAGGTAGAACAGAATTCTATTGCTCATCTTGGTTCTAACATTTTCAAATACAGATAAATAAGAGAGTGTAGAAAATGAACACAGCTGTTACAAGTTGTAGAAGTCATGGTGGCAGGACTCCAGAGCAGCAGTGGCAGCAGGAATGGTTACCAGCCATAGCCCAGGGTGACTCGGGGCCAGGCTCAGCACTCTGGGCCCACTGGAGTTCTCTACCTGCACTGTCTGCTTTGACACTGGATTTGGTTGTAGTGGTGGTGGCTACAGGATGTTCATATCTTTTTTTTTTTCCCCCAGATTTGAAAACCAAAGCTTATAAAGGTTAGAAAATGGATCCCATATCAGGCATTTTGTACATGGTAGACGGGAGATTTGAACCAATCTCCACCTTTCTAAACACTACTTTAGCATATATATAAAGTAACAGGTTTCCCCCTTAATAAATTGAATGGCCTACTTGTTTTTATAGGAGGACTTACTAGCCTCCCTATTACCATTAAATGTTGCTTATTTCTGTTGTTCAGCAATGAGTGGGGCATCTCTGGAAGAATGAATGTGCAGAAAGAGCTGTGATGTCCATGACAGCTTATATTTGCCCAATTATCCATTTTTTTTTTACATTAATAGGCCCTAGAGACCACTTTTAAGGGAAATCTCTGACTATGTATGACCCAAGATACCTTACTCAAAAACAATGAGTTTTATTATTCTTATTTGGGTAATGAAGAAACTGATTTTCCATGACTCTGTGCTACTGTGATTCTCACAGAACCCCACCCTTGAAAACCATAATAAGTTATATTATCTCACAAAAATGCAATGGGCATGATATCATTCTTGTATTATATATTAAAATTTGTATGAAGTTATTCATTAAAATTTAGATTTTTTTTATCACAGTAAAATGGAGAATAAATTGCCCTTAGATAAATAACCTTGCCAGTTGTGGGACTAAATTATGCTAGTGACTTTATAAATTCTAGAATCATATAATTTTAATGGCTAATCATAAGTCTGTTTTTTTTATTTTCTATTTTTTAGAATTAATTAATTTATTTTTGGTGCTGGAGATTGAACCCAGAGCCTTGTGCATGTTAAGCCCATGCTCTACCACTTAATTATACCAACCCATATATATATATACATATATATTGTGTTTTTTAATTTTATGAAGAGGTGAAGACTCCTCTTTGTTATTTCTCATGTTTTCAAATTTACCACCTCTCTAATATATTTATGGCAGGAGAGTTATGTACCAATTGAATAATAATAACAATAAATATTAAGGAATAAAAACATTGGACAATAGGTAGACCAGGACTCTAGGAAAACTGTGTGTATCTTGTTCAGTAAATAACTTTGAGCTCCAACTGTGTCACATTTCTTTTCAAAATGAGAAGGGGTCACCACGAATCATTCCACTAAGTTGTAGACAACCCTTTACCAAACATTCCATGTTTATACAATCACACAATCCAGGGATATAATGAGAACTCTTTTGCTGGTGCATGGTGTTGTATTACAGAAGATTATATTATAAAAGATAGATTTTCACCTCACTAGCTAGCTACTTGCCTCTGCATGGTGCATGGTCTTAGCTCTTCTGGAGGCAAAGAGTTCCAGGAAATCACCCAAGGTCCATCAAGGGAGTGTGTTCATGTTTGGCCAGCATAGATGGCAATGTGACTATTGAGAACCTTTAGATGGTTTCCCTTAATTGGGTGAATCATTCTGATTATTATTTAATCCTAGCAATTTCCACCGGCACATTAAGGTATAGAACTTGTCCTTTGTAAATGTAAATTCCCAGGAAATATTCTAAGTAGAGAAAAATGTAAGTCCACATCTGAATATCATTAGCAGAGTTCAGGACCGTTTTCTCTAAAGCATGTATGTTTTTAGGACTTAAGTATCTTATTCCAACTGTTCTGCTGCATTAGCCTGTGAACAAATATAGATTATGTTGTGCTGCATTGCTTGCCAAAAGGGAGGGTCATTTCTGGTCACTCATTCTTTTAATTCCCACACAAATACACTACACTCTGAGCAGTCAAGTCAGCTTGCATTTTTGTCTTTTGGCTTGTGTTTGTCAACTATTTTCTTTCTTATTCATTCAACTTTGAACTATAATATCAAGCATATGTCTACAAAATCTCCCTTTTCCCAATGTATTTTTGCTCTACCAGGATGATTTGTAACAGCTTTTGATTTTATTTCTTTTGATACTCCTTCTTCATTGAGTCTACTCTACTTTTTATCATCAGTCATCTGTGAGTACTCACTCTAAGCATTCTTTCTCATTTTTCTCTGTTCTCCTGGTAGATGTCCAAGCTCTGTTCTGGTCTTTCTTCCATGGCTGGCTTATTATATATGAGCTAATATTCCTCTCTAGTGGCTCCTCCCTCAGTCAAATCTGTATTTCATACAGCTTAAGGAACATTTTCAGAGCATTTTAATTTACATGTTTTTTTTTTTCTTTTTTGGCTTGAAATTAATACCTGATTCTTGTTGCTCAGCAACACTGAACAAAACTAGCTTGGTATTTGAAGGTCAGTGAAATTCACTCTTAGCTTCGCAACTCTCAATTCTGCCGTATCTGTACCTTTTGCAATAGATGAAGGCACCCCTTCCCATACCCTGATCCTTTGTTCATTTTGCCCTGCCTTCATGAAAACCTGATTTTTCTTGACTTTGACACTGTATATGCTTTTCATTTCTCAAAGTTTATTTCAAGCTACTCTTTCTTAATTACACCGACCTCCACCTCTCCTCTTCCCTCTTTCTTGGCATGTCCTCAGCATCATCTATTTTGATACATCAGGCTTTTATGACCTCATTGATTACCCTTGACTAAGAACGAGATCTTAAGCCTTTTGAGGGCAGGGTGCTCTTTATGTGTTGTGGGCTCTTAGTAGATAAATGACTGGTCACCTTGTGACTAATGGCTTGATAGAAGCTTGGCATTTTTTTTTTTTTTTGCCCCTTATATTCTATATTCTGCCTTCTGCCCCACCTTTACAATAAGACACACAGTGACAAAGTATAGATTCATGTGATGGTAAGTCTCCTTTTCCACCATGCCCTCCATCCCCCAAGGAAACTAAACTACCTGATTAGTTTTCAAGGAGTAACAGAACAAATAGACACTTACCAATGAATCCTGATCCCTGGAGTGTGGGATGGGACCTTGGCAGCTGAGTTACATCTACACTGAGAATATTTTCCAACAGTTGAGTCTCCAGGAAGAAGGCACAGAATATCAATGAAATTGCAAGAAACGCTGTCTTCTGCACCAATTCTCCTCCTCCTCCTTCTCTCTTCCTCTCTTATTGTTTTTGCTATCTTTCTGTTAGTCATTCTTCATCATTTTTCTTATTAATTTTCATTTTGAAGTCGATTTATTTATAACTAAAGCCCCATTTACTTATTGTGGTAGAGCTGTAAAGAGCATTCACTGTTTAAAGGTAATTCCAGTGGTCAATATAATTTGAGTGTGAACTGTCAGATTGTTTTAATGACCCCATTTAAAAAAAAATATTGCTGTTTACACATTCACTGTATTCAGATATCTAGGAAATTTGATCATGTTCAGGATTCTTAGAAGCTTATGTAATTCTCCCCCCCCCCCCACCCCATCATTAAACTTTAAAAGAAAACAAAGCCAATCAGCTATCAAGGGAGTCCTTCCCAAGCCTAAAGCCACAGAGTTTAAGGCCAGAAAAAAACAACTGAAGAGGTGTCAGCAGGTCTGGTCTCCTTCCTTTTGACAGGATGTGAGTAAGACAGTGGGTACAGGTTCCATTTCCATTTTCAGAAACCCAAGGAATTAAGGAGAAAAAAAATCATTACTACTATGCTAGTCATTTCACTGATGAGAAAACCTCACTGCTATGTAAGTTTTTCCAGTTACGTTCAACTTGCTTTGCTGTTGTCCACATCAAATCATCATTTGGTACAGATTTTCAAGTAGGAATATAGGAAGTCAAGACATCTAAGTCTGCTTTGATTCTTCAGTCACCCTTGCTTATTTGAATTTAATTGGTCTAAATAGCAAAGTAACATAAATGATAACCCATGTGTGTCCTCTTGCACCCCCATCTTGATTCACATGCTATTTGTATTCACACTTCTCTGCATTTCCCCACACTGCAACATATTTCTGTTGTATTTCCACCCTTAAAAGCAGTCCAGCTATTTCCCTCACAGTACTTGCTCTCATTTTTGTTCCTCAAATTTCCCCCCTTTCCATGAAGGTCTGAGGTCCAGAGGGAGTTTAAGAACAGAGCTATCTCAAAGTTTTCAAGGTTGAAGAAGAGTGGTTCCTACACCTTTAAATGAAGACGATTATTTTTCTTTTCCTGAAACTCAATATCAGTTTCTTCACTTTTCATCAGAAAAAAACATAGTGAAAGTGTATTCTAGGCAGATAATTCACCAGGTGGTGGGGATACCACAGCCAGCACAGTAGATGACTTTCTTCCTTGCCAAGGGGCCTGACATCCCTCAAAAGCCATCCCTATTGCAGTAGTTTCGAGGAAGGGAAATCTTTCTTAAGTAGCTAAATCTATTAACATGGCTCTGAATATCTGCATATGGCTAATATCAATCCAATATTTTTTTTTTCAGATTTAAGGGAGTCATTTAGCATTGTCCAAAATTCTGTTCTTTAGTCTAATTTGAAATCATGATTCTGAAAAGACCTCACTTCTGAAATATGGTTCCTGGAGTATAATTTCCATCATTTCATTTCCTATCTTTCACGTGGGTCAGTTTTTGTATTTGCCAAATGTGGAGGTCTTTTCCCCTCTTTTTCTGCTTTTCTCCTGTGTATTATTTGCACTGAGTGTGGCCACTCACATTTCACTAGGGCATCAGGATGTCTACAAGAACCCAGTAATGGATTTTTCATGTTCTTTGACTTTTAGTGACTCTTCCATGCATTTGACTATTAGTATATTTTGAAGCTTTAAATGAAAGCTTTATAACAGGGTAACTGCAGATGACAAATAAGTTAAGGATACTTCTCACTGCTATTTTAAGTAATAAATCAATCAATAAATTATATAACATTTGAGAGAAGTTAACAAGGATAAGTACCTGATAGCCCATTATATTTTCAGTGACTTCATTAAGACTAAAACAGGTCAGATAAACCTCAATATCAAGAAAGTCATCACTGAAGGAGATCATCTGGTAGTATTCTAAAGTTATGGATTTCACCTTCCAAGCTGACTTTTTAGAATTATGTCCAGCTTTTCGTTCATTACCCATATCTTAGAAGTTTTCCAGTCATTTTCATGTATAAATTATCCATTCGCTTCTCATTATTTAAGTAGAGGATATTCCTGCAAAGCATGAATTTCCTCATTCAATAAATGAGAAAAAAATACACCAGCAGATATGACTTATGGAGGTCTATAAAAATCGTATTCAGATTAAAACCATTATCGTGGTCTAGCTAATGTTTCCCAGAGCAGGTTAGCATCATGGTGGCAGTTGAAACCTCTCTCATTGTATCTAATTAAAAAATATAGATATTTATTGCATGTTCCCACCATTTTGAGGCATGCTAACTATAATAACGAACCCTCAATGCTTTTCCTTGAGTGCAGCTATGAGGCTGTGCACAGAGGAGTGCAGAGTCCTGGGCCACTCTGACCAGTGCTGGATGCCCCCGCTGCCCTCGCCTTCCTCGGACTACAGGAGCAACATGTTCATTCCTGGGGAGGAGTTCCCGTCGCAGCCCCAGCAGCAGCATACTCATCAGAGCCTTGAGGACGACCCCCAGGCTGCAGAAGCCGGTGAGAAGAAGAAGAGTTTCTCCACCTTCGGGAAGGACTCCCCAACCGACGAGGACCCCGGGGACACCAGCACGTCCTCCCTGCTCTCGGAAATGAGCAGCGTGTTCCAGCGCCTCTTGCCCCCTTCCCTGGACACCTACCCCGAGTGCAGTGAGGTGGATCGGTCCAACTCCCTGGAGCGTCGGAAGGGACCAGCGCCAACAAAAACCGTGGGTTACCCACCAGGGGTGGCGGCCTGGGCAGCCAGTACCCACTTCCAAAATCCCACCAGCAACCCTGGGCCTGCGCTGGGAACCCACTCGAGCGTGCAGCCTTCTTCCAAGTGGCTGCCAGCCATGGAGGAGATCCCTGAAAATTATGAAGAAGATGATTTTGACAATGTGCTCAACCACCTGAATGATGGGAAGCACGAACTCATGGATGCCAGTGAGCTGGTGGCTGAGATCAACAAACTGCTCCAAGACGTGCGCCAGAGCTAGGAGATTTTAGCCAAGCTTTTTGCTTTCCATATGTATATGGAAAATGGGGGACAGGAAAAGCCCTGAAAGAACTGGCGTTGCCAAATAGTTGCATTTATCATAAATGTGTCTGTGTATATTGAATATTAAATACTGTATTTTCGTATGTACACAATGCAAGTGTGATTATTTTAATCTGTATTTTAAAAATACATTTGTACCTTATATTTATGTGTAATTTAACAAACAAATTTTATTTTTTTACTCCCATGACAAACATGTCTTTCCTAATCATATAGAAACTAGCCACTGTTTCAATCTGATATACTATTCAACCACAAAGTGTAAAGGTACTGCTTATATTAGTTGAGCTGGGGTGGAATTATTATGCCCTATGAACAACCCCACTAATGCATTGCGTAATTCTTAGTTCCATTAACCTCTCCATCTTTTTTTTTTTTCCCAATGCTTTAAAAAATTAAGCATTAGTAAAAAATGTTAAGCTATTTTATTATTATTATTTTCACTGCTCTCTTGTAGCTCCTATGGTTCAACTCTCACAGCTAAATTGAAAAGGGAAGTGAAATTTTATTTGAGGACTAGAAAGCATCTGAAGAATATTTACGAGATGAGTATTTCAAATAAATTTTTTAGACAATGATGTAAGCAGGAATAAAGTCAGTTTTTTTTTGTTTGTTTGTTTTTGTTTTCTGACTCCCAGGCCATGCAAGATGTCACACTGGCCTGGTCTTAAGAGTATTGTAGTGAATTTATAATTAAGGCAAAAAGTGGATTTCATTCCATCCTTGTAATACGAGATGCCATTGAAGGAAATGGAATTTGTTCTTTAAATGGATAACAGTATGCATTTGAACAGTGCCAAGTATTAATGGACAAAGTTATGCCAGTGTCCCTCCTAGTGTAGTAAATATAATTGATTTATTTTGAAACCATCTATTTGAATCTTTCCTTCCTCTCACAATACTTGAATGTTTTTATCCTTTGCAATGTTTTCGTTTGCTATAACTATTCACTTTTAGCTTTTTCTCCAGTGCATGACTTCATATTTTGTTATATTTTTAGTACATGAACATTTATGAAAATCACATTTTTGTTATGGCAATTTTGTTCTATTTGCTGTGTGACAAATGAGAAGTTCTTTATTTATTGTGCTGTTATCTCTCTGTGTGGAATGCCTTGCTAAGAGCGATCCTTATTATGACTATTATCATTTATGATCAAGCTTCTATTAATGTTATTTCTCTTAGTACACTATCTTGATTGTATTCTCCAGAAGATTTTACTGTCAGTGAAAATAAAAGGAAAATTAAAGTAAAGCTAAGGAGCTGTCCATAATCAGTGTCCTGTTCGTATACATGTGTTGGAAAGGTTTGCCTGCACCTCACCTTCTTGAGAAGGTGACTCAGTGCTGGCTTCCAAACAATAGAGAGGGGACTTCCAACTGCCCTGGCAAACAAGAACCCAATGGAAATGAACCTGACATCTGTCATGGGAATGAAAGTAGTTGATCAGATTTTAACTAGTTTAAGTAAAAGTATTTGGAATGTAAAGGTTAAAAAAAAATGGGAAATAACTATTGAAATATTATTCACATCACACACACACACACATACACACACACAAAATGCTGTATCAGAATATTTTGAATTAAGTTGTAGAAGAAAAAAAGGTATCCTCAATATTTTTTCCAACAGGCTAAAATATCCTCCCTAGCTTATCCGAGGAGAATTAAAATACTAGGGAAAGTTAAGTAACCTAAAAGTGGCTAAAACTAAGATATTTGAATTCTCAAATGAGTACCACATTAAATAGAATGTATTATCTCTTTCAGAAGGCACATTTGCCTTCATTGGAGGGATTGCAATTACAAGTGAAATTTCAGTTTATTTTTCAGTAGATTACACACACAAATGCTAACCACATTTAAATACATTTTGCCTTTCAACTTCACTTCCTTTCAATACATATTATCACAAAGGGAAAGTCTTTTATAACCTCACTGTTCTTAATTTAAAGCATCAATAGCAATTGAGGAAACAAAGCTGGAAATAGATATTTTGAATATGTGAAGTAAATAAAATGCAGTATTATATTCCACAAAAAAAATCTTTGTCTATTGTTCTTATACCATTTCATGCCACCAACTCCTTGCTTCCCCAGGCTTTTCCTTTTATTATTTTATTATTGCTTCTCCTGTTCACCATTTAGGGAAATATTAGCGCAGGATTTTAGCTTTCATTCATATTCCTTTTACTAGTTACACACACACACACACACACACACACACACGCACACACACAGGTTGTATACCAGGGATTGAACCAGAGGTGCTCAACCACTGAGCCACATCCCTAGCCATTTTTATTTATTTATTTTTAAAATTTTGAGTCAGAGTCTTGCTAAGTTGCTCAGGGACTCACTAAATTGCTGAGACTGACTTGCAACTCGGGATCCTCCTGCTTTGATCTCACAAATTGCTGGGATTACAGGCATGCAACACACTATTAGTAATATTTTAGTAAAAGCTGGGATGTCTGAATGTACCATAGCAGTTGAACTTCTCAGAGAGTTTATGTCTCCTCTTTTTTGATGTCACACCTCTCTTCAGATTGAAACAAACAAAAAAGCAATTGAAGATTCCTTTCTCCATTCATTATTCCTTAATACCTATGACCACACTGGATTCCTTTAAATATTCTTTGGTGATAACCATCTATTAAAGGAATTATCTTCCATAAATGTAATTCAACATTACATCTGTTGCTTACAAATCCTCTTTTAAAATGTTTGTTTATTGAATGATTAGAATTAGCTTTCTTCAAACTATTACAAGTTATTAACATTATTATTCACTTATCATTCATTTCTTTCTAGTATTAAAAAGGCAAGACTTAAATTTTATTAGTCATTGAAATTCTTCTCCTTTAATGTGTATATCAAATTTATCCTTTATTTTTAGGTAATTATTAAGACAAAATCTGGGTGAATGGTCATATTGGAGGCACTGATGCAGTCACATTTATGCAAATCACCTCGGTGTCCTTGTTCCATTTGTTTAGTACTAATGCCCTAAAATACTCAAAGCTGAGTTTTATTATTGACAGGTTGCAATTCAAAGAGGCCCCCATTGTCAAGCAATCTTACAATGAATTATTTTCATGGGAGAAAAGTGTATGGCCACTTTCAATCTCATGTAATCTCATATTTGGGAATTAATTTATTTTTTTATATAATGTCCCTTTGTATTTCATAATTTTGTATAGCCTTTCAAAAAACAATTCAGGACTGTTGAAAATGTGTTTATATTTCCATTCCAATTCAGGATATTTTGATAATGTATCATCACAACATTGATGATTAAGGAGAGTGAACTGTGAATAAGCAATAAATAAAATTAAAATCAAATTATGTGAAATCTTAGAAATTTATGACAAATTTCAAAAACAATTTGAAAAGTGTGGGCATTTCAAAAGAGCTAACATTTTTAAATTATTAAGAATAATTTCAGGTTGAACTCACAAAACAAAACTTTCCTTAGGTTTGGAAGCTGCCTTATGATGTGAAAGTGTAAGATAACAATAAAGTGTAAGATAACAAGAGCATTTACAATGCTCTAGGATGTCTCTAACTGTGATTGATAGAAATAATTATATGTGCTTACATAAGTTAAGGTTTTAATTTGATAAATTAGGCAATATTTGAGTCACTGAAAAATCACTTAGTTCAGCTAGATACCTAGAATAATTTTTTTTTCTGAAATAACTGAATATCTATAACATTAAACTGTGATTAAAAACTTTATTGCCTATAATGTGTTTCATTTTTCTGTGTAACTGGAGTCATAGTCAAGTACATATACTCTTAATACTAGAACAAAGACAGATTGCTAATAATCTAAACAACAATAACAAAAAATACTGCAGAGATATTATATAACAGATGTGAAAGTTGTTGTTTATATTCCTCTTTAATTTATTATATTTTTATTATATGCTTGCTTATATGGCTTGAGGAGCTGTTAAAAGAATTTATAAGGAGCTAGCATCACAAAAATTGCTACCAAAATTTACATACTTTCTGACTTTTAAAATTGCAATAACACATTCTACTTTGGCATTTTAAAATAATAGTTTCTATTTCCTTTTATGACTTCTAAAGATGCTCTTAATTCTTGCTGTTTTCTCAGATTTTATTTCTTTAATTTATTTTTTCAATGGTACTCATCCTTGATAATTTATTCTACTGTCCCCATTTATAGCACCGCTTTTCAAATTCTCACATGTTTACAGTTTCTCCTATAATCACCTAGATTTTTATCAACTTTCCTGGTGTCTTTTCTTTATTACTGATATAATAGGGGTCATATTTTTGATAAAGCTATTACTTTTCATTCTGAATAAAGCTTGCTTTTCTGATCTTCCAATTCATTAATTTAACAGAAAGGTAAGTTTATATAATCAAGAACAAGGGGTCATTTTTTCTTTGTCTTAAATTTTAAATTAAATATTTTAAATGCATTAAAACACCAGTATAGAAAACCTTGTTTATGTAGGGAGGGAAACTTTCTTTTTTCCTAAATATAAAACACTTTTCTCTATGTATTAAAGGTTAGGCTGGAAAAGGTAAGCTTGGAATTTGACTATAAGGTGAAGTTAAGTTCAGGCATAAAAATAGAATATTAAGTAAGGAAGGCCCCTTGCCACAAGAAAAAAAATATATAGCTGATTGTTGGGAATATAAAGCCTGGGAGATGAATAAATTGAGGAGGGAAAAATATCAGATGTTATTATCTTCTTTATTCCCACTGCCAATGATCTTTCAAGAAGTTATAGGACAAAGGTTGGAATCATGGTACCCTTTCCCTGGACCTCCTTACAGGAGCCCAGGGTGAGGAGGTAGTGTTGAGGTACTTGTACTTTTGGAAAGCAGGTCACCTTTCAGTGCCTTTGGATGGTTGGATGGCCTGTGTCTAAATGGGGGAGGGGGTCGATAGTATAAACCCTACTACAATTCAGAGTGCTTTTATCTAAATGAGGGCAGGCTTTCTAAAAGCTCCAGGTACATTCTTGTTTTATTAAAAGGTACATTCTGCAGCTTAAAATAGCTAACCACAAGGTATTCCAGGCAGAAACAGCACAGAACTTTCTTATGGAAGAGGACCCTTGTGTTAGACACTGTTTTAGGTTCTAAATTATCTACACAACTTCCAGTAAATGGTGTTAAATGTGAAGAAATAAATCTGAAATACACAGCTCAGAATGTGTTATGAATTCTAACTAGAGAAGTGTTTTGCCAGTTGCTACCTTGAGATTTGAATCTCTCCTGTAAACTTGTCCTGGAGGCTCTCTGTTTTAGTTAGCTTTAGAATATCCCTGACCAAAATGCCCTACCAGAATAATTGAGAGGAGGGAAAGTTTATTTGGGGATCACAGTTTTGGAGGTCTCAGTCCACAGATGGCTGACTCCATTGCTCTGGGCCTTAGATGAGGCCAAACATCAAGGGAGAAGAGCATGTTGGTAGAAGCTGCTCAGCTCATAGCGGGTCAGAAAGCAGAGGGAAAAAGAGGCCATAGGAAAGATGGACCCCTCCAGGGACCATCCCCAGTGACCTTCCTCCACCAGCCATATCCCACCTGCCTATAGTTACCACCCAGTCACTCCATTCAAACTAGAATGGGATGATTAGGCCACAGTTCTTATAGTGTAAACATTTTACCTCTGAATTTTCCTGCACTGATACAGGAGTTTGGGGGGGGACACTTTATATCCAAACCATAACACTGTCAGAGTGCCACAGTCTGGCTGGGCACAAATCACCGAGCTGCCACAAAGCACTTGTATGTTCAAACAGGAAACTTTATTGCCTGAACTCCAACAGCACTCCACGCACACTCCCCGGGAACTCTCCCAAACGCCACCCACGTGGCGGCTCCTCTTCCACACCAACTCCCCACACCGGGTTGAGCGTGCACTCACTCTCGGAACCCCGGACAACTCAATGGGAACTCCAAAGTAGCCGGCGCCCAAGGCAGCAAGAGCGGCCCTATTACTGCACAGTAAAGGTCTACTATACAATTGAATCAATCCAGCATCATCTTAATGGCTCGCCTCTGGCATCTCAACCATTACTTCTGGCAAAATGCCAGGGGCCATTCCGATTAGGCTGTGGCTCTCAACATCAGAGTGGGCTTTTCCAGCTTCCTCTGCAGACCCATGTGATTGCCAAGAGGTTGGGGGACAAATACACAAGGGGGGCACAAGGGGTGATGAGCTCAGAGTCTGTTGCTAGAGGAGACAGCTATAGAGCATCGGCTTCCACCTGTCCCACATCCTTCCCTTTGTTCCCCTCACACTCTGTCCTCACCTTCCCCTCGGCTGGAATCTAAATAGAGGGTCAACCCATAATCATGCCTCTGCTCAACACATAATCGCTGCACTTACTCGGTGTCAGATTCTGTGCTTGGTGTTTGGGAGACACTGTTGAGCAAATCAGACCAAAGAAATGATGAGGAACAAGCCAAGAGCACCAGGCTGTAAGCATTAGGGCAGAATGGGCTGCACTCACCTGCAGGAGGACACTCTCCAGCCAGAGCAATGAGCGGGAGGATTATGGACAAGGCCAGAGGCCCTGATTTGCTTACCAATGCACCCTCAGACCCGCAAGGAGACCCTGTCCCTTTATTCATTGTTAAAGATGTGAATGTTTTTATGATACTTCTTATAGGTAAAAGGCTGAAAAACTATTGCATTATTATCATTAAAACTAGTTGTTTCCTAGTGTCATTTTGCTTGTAAGGGTTCATTACCTCAGGTATGGGAGCAGATATAGAGAATTCAGTGATAAGGTTCTCCCCCTTCTGAGATCATGCCAAATGAATTGAAAGGAAAAATGTAATTTTATAGAAAATAGAGAAACCATATTCCATATTGGTATTGGTGGAGGAAGGGTAAGAGTTGCAGAAAATATAATAAGCTCAAAATGAATAACTTTTCATATATCAAATAAATTTCTTTTTTTTCTCACATAACAGCTAGTGTTAAGGGAAGGTACAAATCCTGAGGGAGCTACACTCTTTTAAGAGCTCATTTGGAGACTGGTCTC